CCCCGCCCGGCAGATCACCAACACCCAAAAGATCAAGAAGATGAACCGCAAGCAGCTTCGCAGCCTGATCAAGGGCGACCTGAGCGTCGTCGGGAAGAAGGCCGCCGCTCGCGGCGAGGCCATCGACCGGGAGAAGCGCATCGCGGACAAGAAGAAGAGCAAGTGATCTCCACGTGACCATATCGCCTTGAGAAATGGCATTGGCGACTACCCCACAATCATCTTCCTGTATTTTTATCCCCGCCCCCACTTTCCCCATGGGGGGGAGGGGGAGGGGGGGGGGCGGGGGGGCGAGGGAGAGAGAGGTCCCAGATTCAACACCGACGGGACGTGAGCCGGGGGGTGTCCATCCCTCTTCGGCCCTTCCGCACCCTCTAGACCTTTGTCTCTTCCCCCCCCCTCCCCTCCTCCCCCACTCATCTGCCCTGTGACCATCTCACACCCTTGCATATGTGCGCGTGTGTGCAGTGCTCACACCATGCGTGCCCCCCATCCCCCTCCCCTTCCCCCTCCCCCCTTTACCATTGCCCTTGGCGCGGCTGTCGCCGAAGCCGGTCCTCCCTCCTGCTTTGCTCCCGGCAAGCAAGTGAGCCCCCGGTGACTGTCTCTCCTGTATTTCTAGTTCTTCCCTGTCTTGTCTGCCCCCCCCCCCTCTCCTCGTTGATTGAAATAGAGTCTCTTCCGTCCTGTGACATTCGGTCTCCGAGTGCGTGTGGGAGACACAGGCGCCGATCTTTGCACAAACATCCGATTGTGCCAGGGTGCTGGCCGTCTCCCGGGCTCCCTCCTCCCCCTGTCCCTCAGGTAGGGGGGCTCCCTCCTTGGCCCAGAGTCCCCCTCGCAGGACACAAACAACCCCATGGGTTTGCCCATGCGTTAAGGTCCCAGCCATGCGAAGGTGCCTCTCAGGGAGCGTAACCTCCATAGGCGCTCCCCGGCAGGGGGTGTGTATGTGTGTGTATGTGTGCATGGCCCTGCTCCGTCAAAAGGGGCACATTGTGCTTGGGGACCTTGTGCCAAGCACCCTGGCAGCCCCGACCGGCAGAGCGCTTTGCCGATGCCATCGCCCAAGTCGCTGTCGTGTATGACCTCCACCATTATGGATGGATCCTCTCGCGTGGCGCATGCCCCCCTGCCCCCCCCCCCCCCCCTCTCCATCCCTGACCACCCTTGCTTCTCTTTCTCGCCTCCCCCTTGCCGACCCCGCGGAGACTACCGGGGAGGGTTCGCGGCTTGCCGGTGCTCGACCGGTGCTCGGCACGCTCTTTGGTCAATGAGATGAAGGCCGACAAGTGGCCAGACCGATGAGAGTGAGATACACACGCCGATAGTCTGCGCTCCCCCGTCGCAGACGCTAGTCCTGAAATGGTCATCTGCTCTAATCGCCGCGCTTTGTCTTCCGATATTCCCCCATTGCGGCGACGCTGCAAGGCTCTCCGGCCCTCCTGCTGTCTGTTAAAGATTATCCCAAGCATATCACTTGGCGGGTGTCCGTGCATGTGTGCATGTGTGCATGTGTGTGTGTGTGTGTGTGTGTGTGTGTGTGTGTGTGTGTGTGTGTGCCCAGTCTCGCGTGCAGGCATCCGGTCCGCTTGAGAAACTGGCCTCGAGTGTCTTGAGGCTGGCAGAGAGCCGGGCCTTTTGGCGGATGTTGGCCACTTCGGTCTGGCTCCTGTGCCCTGTCCAAGGTGCGTTCCTGCGTCCCTCCTACATGGGCTCGTTGATAGTTCCTTCCCCCCGGCCCAGCACCCCAGAACCCAGGTGGCTATCGGCTACCCCTGGGTGTTTCCGTGCCCCTCCTCATTTTTCCGGGTATCTCTGAGCGCCTGCCCTTGGGCAGGGTGATTCCCCTGTTCAAGTGCTCGAGGCTGGCTCCATGATGCTTTGGCATCGAGATCTATCCATCCGGTCGTATGCGTGAGTCTGTGCCGGGGTCTGCACCGGTGTCCGTGTATCTGGATGTGGGTGTGAATGTTTGACCGGATGCTTGGATGCCGAGATGTTTGCGCGTCTTGCGGGTCTGCGGATGCTTGCTTTTTTTTTTTGCAGATGCTCATGATGTCGGCCCGTGGAAAGTGTGCGACGGGTTGTTGCAGAGCCTCCCCTCCCGGTTGCCTCTCCGCATGTTCGTGCATCCCCGCGCCCGATCCATGGCCAGTGTGCCAGCGACGTGGATCATGGTGTATCTTCCCCGATCGGGGCGGGACACCCGCATGGCCAACGACCTGCTCATCCCCCCCCCCCCCCACCCCCCTCCCCCCCCCCCCCCCCCCCCCCCCCCCCCCCCCCCCCCCCCCCCCCCATCCTCCCTCGCTCCCCTCTTCCCGTCAGAAACAACGCATCGCAAGGATGCTGATGTCCCGGGACAGCGGCGTCTCGCGACCCCGATGCATCGCTGCCCTTCTTGGCGGTTATCCTTCTCACCTTCTCTCTCCCTCTCTCTCTCTCTGTGTGTGTGTGTGTCAATACTCCCCTTCGGTCCCCCTCGACCATGGACCGCAAGTGTCTCTGACCCGTGTGGGGCTACCCATCCACACCCTTTCCCCGGCAGCCGTTGTCCCTCACAGCCCCGGCTCCAGGGGTTGCCTCTCCACGGGTGAAGCCAACCAACGTGCCAGTTGGCTGCTCCAAACTCAAAGACCCTATTTAAGCAGCTCACTTGGTCCCCTCCCTTGGGACTTTGCTCATCCCCTGTAGGTGCAAACTCATCTTCAGGCTTGTTTCCCTCTCCGACTGCTTTCTCGCCCCTCCCCCCCCTCTCTCTCTCCTTTTTCGGCCGCACCGAATCGACAAGGGTTCCCTCGTGGAAGACACCGAGATCGCTCAATCGCAGCGAACTCCCTCACACAGCACAGCCAGCAAGGTGCGCGACCCCCGACACATTGTTTGATGCCCCCCCTCGGGGGGATCCTCCCCCCAATGGTGGCTCCTATCCCTCCTCCGATGCCTCCTTCACCGGCCTCTTCCTCCTTCGCTGCTGTCTCTCTCTCTCCATCTCAGAGTCGCTCGCTGGCTCGTCCTTCCTCCCCTCCCCGTCTCCCTCTCGCCTGGCGGCCTCCATCCACTGACTCATTCGTTTGTCGCCACAGATGTCCCAGAAGCTCATGATGGCCGCCACGGCCGCCATGATGATGGTGGCCGCCGCCAACGCCGACGCCGCCATCATCCCCCAGGAGCAGAAGGCCGCCGAGATCGAGCGCCAGGCCCGTTCCGATGAGGCCGGCGCCGTTGTCGAGGCCAAGTCCGCCGATCAGAAGGTCGCCAAGACGGGCGCCGCCGCCAAGACGGGCGCTTCTTCCGCCGAGGCGCGCAAGGAGCGCCGTCCTCGTGACGACGACGAGGAGGAGGACGAGGAGGAGGACGAGGAGGAGGAGGAAGAGGAGGAGGAGGAGGAGGAGGAGGAGGAAGAGGAGGAGGACGAGGAGGACGAGGAGGATGACGAGGACGACGAGGGCAAGAAGGAGGAGAAGCGCAAGCGCAAGGCCGCCAAGAAGGCGGCCAAGAAGGCCCGCAAGCGCGCCAAGAAGTCTCGCAAGCACCCCACCCCGCCGCCCGAGCCTACCTCCGAGCCCTCGAAGCCCAAGCCCACGCCCACCTCGGTGCCCAAGCCCACCAGCGAGCCCTCCAAGCCCAAGCCCACCCCGACCGCGGTGCCGAAGCCCACCCCCACCACCAAGCCCTCCAAGCCCCGGCCCACCAAGCCGTCCAAGCCTCGGCCCACCACCAAGCCCTCCAAGCCCAAGCCCACCAGCAAGCCCTCCAAGCCCAAGCCCACCAGCAAGCCGATCGTCCGGGAGTGCTCTTGCCCGGCTGGCGAGATGGTGTCCTGCTTCCGCAACGAGCGCGACTGCTTCACCAACAGCAACTCCATCACCTGCACCGATGTGGCGGTCTGCGTGTCCAATGGCATGATGGTGTACAGCTGCAGCGGTAGCCCCAAGGTTTGCCGCCGGACCAGCGACTGCTCCTCCATCCCTGACGGCTCCGGCGAGCAGGATCCCCACTTCTCGGCCTTCCACGGCCGCCAGTACTACTTTGAGGGTCGCTCCGGGCACAGCTACAACATCATCTCCGACAAGACCTTCCAGGTGAACGCCCACTTCATCCGCCTCGAGGCGCTGAAGGGCACCTACATGGGCCGCCTCGGGTTCCTGATCGGGTCGCATGTGCTCGGCTTCGACCCCGGCTTCGGTGCCTTCCTCAATGGCCAGCAGCTGCCGGTCGGCTCGCTGGAGCTTCCCGAGGCCGAGATTGACCTCGAGCACATTGACGGGCGCTGGCGCCTGTCCGTCCGGACCGAGGTCTGGCAGGTGACCGCCCGTACCAAGGTCGAGAAGGGTCTCATGCAGGAGATGTACACCAACCTGCATGTGTCGCTGCTCGGCAAGCCCGAGTCCCCGCACGGTATTCTCGGCCAGACTGCCCAGTTCATCGTCGATGGTGCGCCAAGGGTTTCGCATGCGGTCTCCCTTGCTCGCGCGATGCGCAAGGAAAAGGGGGGGGGGGAGAGAGAGAAAGAGAAACCGGCAACGGCACGAGGCTCTCCCCGGAAAAGGCGAGCCGGAAGAAAGCCAAGGAGGAGATATCGAGAGCCCCCGGAGGGCCGGTCCATTCGGGGCTGCCCGTCCTCTTGCTCCTCATGCCTCCGACGGATGACTGACAAAACGCTCGCTGGCCCCGCCCCTCGGAACTCTCCCACCATGTGCACCTCTGGCCTGGTGCGCGTACGCTTCGACACAGGCGTTGATGCCACCGAGGCCGCGAAGAACTTCGCCCTCATTGGTAAGGAGCTGGACTACGAGCTGCGTGATGGCATTTTCGGCACCGACTTCGAGTACAACCGCTTCGACACCAAGTCGGCGGCTGCCTACTCGGCCGAGGTGTCTGGCGAGGCGCTGTCCGCCCGGACTGCCAAGCGCCAGGGCCGCACCATGTTCGAGGCTGCCGTCGACATGGCCAGCCACTAAATGTGCCCGTGCGCCTGAGGCCGTGTGTGTGTGTGTGTGTGCGTGTGTGTGTGGCGCCCGTTCCCTGACGCGCGCATATGCACCCAGCCTCTGAGACATGCAAACACAGCCAGGCACGCACATGCTCGCATACGCGCGCGCGCGCGCGCTGGTGCATACCTTAATGTGAGCGCGCGCGTGCGTGTGTTTGCGTGCGCGGTGCTGTGTTTTTCCCCCGTGTCTGTGTCGGCAAGTACAGGGTCCACCGGCATCATGGTCCGTGCGTCGAAGATGTGTCTGACGCAAGGCCGGCCGGGGTTCTCGGGGAAATGCCCCGCATGCTGGCTTCATCATGGGGTTCTCATCCACTTCTCCCGGTTCAAATGGTTTCTTCGCCCGCTGCTCAGGCATCTGCCACATCGTCAGACCGCTGCCTCGGGGGTGAGAAACCAGACGCCAGGGCCTTTCATGGTGGATGTGTCTCCCATGGTGCGCTCGCCACATGGCCGAGGCGAAAAGCATGTGTGTTGCCCTCTCCTCTCCTGGCCATGGCAAGAAGATCGACCCCGCATGTTGACGCGGGCGTGTGCATGTGTCTGGGCATATGCGCGCACTCACGTAAGCACACGCACGCAGACACATGCCCAGATGCCAGCCCCCCTTCGGGCTCTCTTCCATTTTCCCACCCTGTCCCCCCCCCCCCCTCTCATCACATCTCTCTGGCTTTAACTGGAGGGCTTGGTGTCCTGTGCTGTTGGCAGGGGGAGCCGCCCCATAGGTGGCTGCTCCTTCCTGAACAGCACCCTTCACACAAGTATCCCCGCTGTATATTATCCCCAAAAATAAAGCCACATTCCCACCTGTCCCCCCCCCCCCCCCCCCCCCCCCTCCCCTGATCCAATGTGTGTGTGTGTGTACTTCCTCTTGTGCTCGGCTCTCGGATGCGCATGCACGAGCACAAAGCCCGGGGGGGGGGACAACGCGATGCAAATCGTTTACGCAGCAGGTCAAGGAGGGGCGTGGGCATCCAGGAGGGAGGGCGAGGCATATGCTCACACATG